AGAGAGAGAGAGAGAGAGAGAGAGAGAGAGAGAGAGAGAGAGAGAGAGAGAGAGAGAGAGAGAGAGAGAGAGAGAGAGAGAGAGCTTTCTGATGTCACACGTCCGGCAATTTTCATGGTGAAGCAACCGAATTTCGATCAAGTTTCCAAACCCGACAACCCATCTGCCATGCAGGTGATTATAAAATCAATTTCTCATGATACGGGTCCTCTCTCCTCCAGCATCATGCCCACATCCTGGCTTCACTCTTTTCTGCCTTTTGTTGCTTTGCCTACCTAGTTGGTGTTTTTGTCAGTCATATTTGCCTCTTGCTGGCCCGGTTTCCGACCTTTTCTAATTTGTGTGGAATCTGTGGATGGTACTTAGATCCTAGCAATCGTCGGTGCTGCATGCTTGTGGGCTTTCCCTTGGTTCAACTCTGCACCCCCGGCTCCTCCCCCCCCCCCCCCCCCCCCCCCCCCCCACACCGCCACTAATTGTACCAATCTCTCCTTTCACACTTGCTTCAACTTCCTGCTTAATAATGCCCCCACGGTCTTCCCTCTCCGCCCCGGTGCAGCTCCTTACAGCGGCTCCTTATTACAGTTTCCACTTCATCTAGTCTTTTCATTTTTCCGACTGGTGCTTACTTGCACAGCCGACGCCCTTGCCGGCCGCCCACCGGCTGTCCGTTTTGGTCTGCCAACTTCTTTAACCTCCCTACATATATAGCTTGACCACTGCAGCTGCTCCTTGTCTGCCTACCTCTTTTCACGCTTGCTTCAACTTCCTGCTTATCGCCACCCACACGGTATTCCACCTCCTTTTTTCCCTCCCTGTTCAGGTGCAGCTCCTTCTTACAGCGCCGCCTTCTTACGGGTTTCCACTATGTCCTGTCTTCTCGTTGGTCCGACCGGTGTCTACTTGCACAGCCGACGTCTTTGCCGGCCGCCCACCGGTTGTTCGTTCTGGTCTGCCAACTTCTCTGCCGTCCGTCGGCTAAACCGTCTTTGACGTCTTTGCCGGCCGCCCACCGGCTAAACCCTACATATATAGCTTGACCACTGCAGCTGCTCCTTGTCTGCCTACCTCCTTCCGCCAAAGAGAATGCCCTACAATCATGACTGTATCTGGACCGAAGCAGGATTTCTATACATTCATGATATGTGGCATTATGCTCCTTCAGGGGAGATGAGTTGGCCGTCTCTTGTAACTGCTATTGACGATACTGTCTATTCTAACTATTCACTATACTGTCTATTCTAACTATTCACTATACTGCTAGGCTACCAGCCGGGCTGCCCGGGTCCCGGGTGGCCAGCCCGTGCAAGGACCAGGGAAGGTACCAGCAAAAAAAAAAAAATCAAACAAAAAATCAAAAAATTCCGAAAAAAAAACTATGTTATGAAGAAAAATAAACTGAACAACTTTTGCCTCAGGGTCACATCGAAATTCTGCACCAAATTTAGAAAACAAAATAAAATTTAAAAATATTTTTTATTTTTTTATTGTTTTTATTGTTTTTGGCCCGGCCGGGCAAGTGACCCCGGGCCACTCTGGTAGCCTAGCTATACTGTCTATTCTAACCATTCACTATACTGTCTATTCTAACTATTCTCTACACCGTCTCTTCTGCGAGCTCACTGCTGCATATTCATTCAACTGCAGCCCTTCCTCTCCTTCGTCTCCTCTTCCCCCTCCCTCTGCCCGCTCCTGTTCTGTTTACTAAAAGGAGTCCATACGCTTGCCACAGCTGTTTGTATGCGGATTCAGGGCATACCCACATTAGGACTTTTTGCACTCAGCTCTTGATGTGATTGTGGTCAGATTCATTGACAGTGGGCCGTAATTACAGTCAGATACATTTTAGGAAGGCGCTAGCATGAGTAATGCCCTCAGTCTTGCAGTGCGTTGTTGCGGGCAGACCGACGTGATCTTACACAAATACACGTATGTATACAAAATCAATCAACCGTGCCACTTGCTTCCCCACATAGTCCCACCTAGCCCCACATAGTCTCCGGAGATGCATAATGATTGTTCATGCAGACACTCTAGCTGTGCACTTTTTCCCCATCAGTCCTTCCCTGTGGAATGTTCGCTCTATATGCACGAGTCCGTAATATGCGGAAACCTCATCTCAAGTTTCTGCCATTTTTTAGATTGTGGAACACGCACTGCTAAGACCAGATGCATCTGATCAAAGAGAGCTTTCGAAAAGAAGAAGTCCTTGCTGTCGTCATAACTGCCCTGCGAGATTGCTGCCATAAATCCCTTCCTCTACGTGCCGTTTTTTTCACAGGTACAGGCTTGTAACTCTGAGCTGACGAAGGAATCGGGGCATATCCAACTCTTGGGTGCGGGGGCACTAATGCGGTGGAACGCATCCGGTCACAACCTATGCCATACATTCTTGATCTACTTCTTTCTCGTCTCTTTCTCATTAAGTTGAATAGTTGGTGTTGTGCAATCCTTGCACGTTATCAATCGAATGCATCTCCGTTCTCCAATCATGTGAGTCAGCCACGTTCACTTCGTTCTACGCATGCCTCCTTGCACCATCTTCAACACCACGTTCACTTTCTCATTGTCCCTGTGGACAAAACATCGCACATTTGGCAATCTGCTGCAAGTATCGGTGTCTATTTCATCTCTCTACCCATTTGGACAGTCCCAGTTATACTCGTCGTCATGAAACCGTTGTTGATATCCTCGACAACCATGCTCTTCTATGAAATAATCATATTGGGGTTACGCCCACACCGATACCCTATTTCCCTATTTCCCTATTTACCTATGATATGTACTCAAAGCTCTCAGATCTCCTTCAACTCTTTGCAGCATTCTTGGAGTCACAACTCAAAATAACATAGTTGTTCCCCCGTATGCTCGCCCTCGTTCGGCGATTCGTACCATTTATGAACGACCTCCTCACAGACCATTGGCTAGCACAACAATTACTTCGATGTATCTCAGCGCTGCTTTGCAAGGAGTGATTTTTGAGAAAGTCACTCAGCTCTATCAACAAGTGGGTGTTTGACGGTGCTGGATCGTTCAGAGTGCCGATGAAGACTCTTTGTGTCCGGTGCTGGATTGTTCAGAGTGCCGATGAAGACTCTTTTGTGTCCTCAGTCCTCACATTGTTGATTTCACAACAATTTACACCAAACTTCCGCATGACGACTTTCTGAATAATGTGGCGAAAGTTGTTGATGAAGCTCGTGCGTATGCGCTTTGGCATGCTCGCACGCATTCACGTTGCAATTCCCTGAACATGGTTATTTGAGGACCTTGTTGTGGCCAATGGACAATTGATTCAAGCCCGAGCACAAATTTCTGTTTCTCAGATCTTTCAACATTTTCGCTTTGTTGTGCAAAACACTTTTCTCTACGCTAGAGATGACACGCTTCAAAAACAAATTATGGTTATTCTAATGGGAACAAACGCTAGCCCAATTTTCTAATTCGATGCTGTATTGGGATGAAGCGCGCATCGTTAATGGCTCGTCGGAGAGAGAGAGAGAGAGAGAGAGAGAGAGAGAGAGAGAGAGAGAGAGAGAGAGAGAGAGAGAGAGAGAGAGAGTGCATATGCTGTCTCTTATACACATCTAGATGTGTATAAGAGACAGCACACACACACAGAGGTGACAATGGAGAGGAAAGGAATTTCCACACACACACACACACACACACAGGTGACTGTTCATGCTGGGTACCCTCCCCCACTCACCCCCATCTGGCCGATGCAGCATGCCTGGCTGGCCCAGCTGTGTTGATCTGGTAGCGGAGATCTAGAAAATGCATTTGACCACCCACTCATGCTGACTTTGTGGATGGGGCTTGATGTTCTTAAGCATGTTTAATAGTTTATATGCTGTGCTTTGCACAAGGGTAATATCTTTCACTGTGTTCTCTTCAGCCTTCCATTTTCCCCGTCAGCCACGTGATACTGTTCATGGGATGGGCACAATGGATGGTCGATGGTCGTATCCCATAATTGACAGCAGGTATTGTCTTCTACTCACCAGCGCCACCTAGATGTGTAAAGAAAAAAAAAAAGGAAAAGACTTAAAAGAGAGAAAAACTTTTAAAAACTGGGAAAAAAAAGAAAAAGTGCTGTCCATTCCAAGGACCCAAAATCAACACACACAGGGGGCTCGGTCCTCGACTCCACCAAGACCAATTTTTTTGTTTTTAGTGCATGTGGTGAGCAGAGGAGCGAGGCCCATAATCTGTGTCGTAGACACAACTTATGTGGGACAGCTGTTGTTAGGTGCAAGTCTGTTCTTTCCTTCTTCCTTCATTTTTCTTTTTTTATAATTTATTAATTTTATTACTCTTTTTCCATTGATGTGTTCTGACTTCTGCCTTGCAGGTTTGTTCCCAGCTTTTTTTTTTTTTTTTTTTTTTTACTAATTGTATGAAAGAACAAGGTTCTAGTTCCTAGCTGGCTGATACTGTTGTCAGTTTTTTCAACTTTTTTTAATTTTTTCCTCGTCTTTGAATCGCATGTACAGGATTCCGGAGTGTTGCGGCGGTTGTCCGTGTTAATGCATGAAGAGGACTGGTCTGAAGAGCAGCCACCAGATGAGTTGGCGGGGGAGTGGTCGTCAATGGCGCATCTGACTGGGTTTGGGTCCTTTATGAGGGCATCTCAGGTGCCGGCAAATCCCGCCCACTTCGCTCATCGTCATGCAGACATGGATGGTATGTTGATGCAATTCTAAAAATAGCGCGAACAAGATAGGAAAAGTTGTGAACAGAGTCAACAGATTCTTGTTGAGAGGAGAGACTGTTCGGTTGCTCAGGATTGGGCCACCTCTTCTTCGCCGGGCACCTGTTCTCCGTCTTTGCGCTATTGCCCTTCCAGTCTCTGATTATCTCGTCCGCAAGACTGGGCCCATTTTGATGGCGAGTGATTGCAACCATAGGTTCATGAGACCGGCACCAAGTCTCCACTGCGTAGGTCATTTACGGGTGAGCGTAGATCAGGATCATGTCCAGGTTCATGTCCTTATGTTGTCATATATGGTTGAATGTTGATCAGGTTCATGTCCCTCTATTTTGAGGATTAGCACACGCCGGGACGCCACGATTGCAAAGGTTTCTATCCCCGTCTGTTTCGGGGATAAGCGGCACAGTGGCTTGGATACCTGATTAGGAAAGCTACCGTCTTCCCCTGAGCACAACCCACCCTCGCCCTCATCATGAATGCATAAAAGATAGCACTCGATGCACGCATGCACACACTACGACCATCTATCTATGGAGCAGCAAGGTCGCACTCCGACCATCTATCTATCGAGTGAAGTCACCAGGCTTTCAACTTAACGGGGCTCTCTCGGCTAGCGCCACACCCACCAGTTAAGATTCTTGATTGTCGGCCATGGATTGAGATAACAATGATCAAATCATCAAACACCTTTCCCCGTGTCCTGTTTTGTTAGGGATTAGCACAATTGGATATCCCCCTCCCCCACCCCCCAACCCACCCAATCCCACCCAACCCCCCCCAACCCCCCC